CTATTATGTCTGTTTGTTTTGTCCACGCATCGTTGTCAATATAATGGAATTTGATGCGACTGTAATACAAGTGAGAGGTTTAACTAGCTATAAAACCAGGATCAATCCACCATTTTCTACATGAGAAAATGCCTGTACCAAGTCAGGAATATGACAGTTGTTAGCCATTCGTATGATGTGTTTTGAGCTTTTGATTTTACCATTTGATTTGGGACTTTCCGTTTTGAATATTCCTCGGAGTTTAGTATTTTTGTGATTTATCTTTTTTGATAAAAAAGATTATATTGGCCTAAAAGTTAAAAACCAAGCCTAAATAGATAATAAGTTTATGTCATAACTAACAGTAAAAGATTTAATTTGAACTTACAAAAAAGTGAACGTATATTGAAACGCACAACAAACAAAATACCAGTTTACGCCAAATTAACACTATGAGAGTCTATGAAAATAGAGACAAACGTGTATATTGTAACATGTATCACAAAAAACATATAAGTGTACATACTGACAAATTACATACACAATCGATGGAAGAAGCGAATCGATAAAAATCTTTCTTATTTGAAATAGCGATATTGTTTAATATGAACTAGTTGCATTGTGGGAAATTTCAGACTAATATTTACATTTGTATGAAGAAAGGAAGATTTCTCGGTATAAGTAATGACTATTTTTCTTAAAACAGGATAACATTTAACACGACAAACATTTGCCTGCATGAACTGTGTAATATAATAACAAGCAAGATGTATAAATACGAGAAAAACGATATGTTGATTAAAAGAAACATAAATGCACGATTTATCATTTGTAGATGTACGCATTCAATTAATATCATGTAGCAAAATTAGTGGAATGCAATGTCGATGAATTCAATTGTTTCCTAAATCAAAATCGCTTATAATTCTATGATACTGCTATATTTTCTAATATGGATGCGATATTTTTCTTATATTTAATACCGTTTTTTATATGAAAAAAATATGAATGCAATATTTTTATTTTATAAATGCAATAGTTTTTGTTATACAAAATGAATAAAATGAATACGATTACAAGGCATAATGTATGTCAAGAAAACTGGAAACATAATTCACATTCACATTTCATGACAGGTTTACTGTTGTCTGCCAAATATCACTAAAATTTCGTATCTGTAACAAAATTAACGCTTACATGTAATGTCGAAAAATGTTGTTTGAACCAATCGATAGTTCACAGTGTTAACAACCTGCTAAGTCCATTATTTACGATTAGATGGTTATGCCGATTAATTCTATGTTCAGTGATGATGCAATGGCGGAATTCAAATGTGGTTAATGTGAATATTCTACCGACCGTTTTGATTCTATCCAATATCATGCTGTAAATATCCACAAAGACAAAGTAATAACATTCTTTAAAAAAGAAAAAAGCATTCCTACGATCAATTCAATCCAATATGGTTCCTATTTACACCTGGCAATGAATATTCAAATGGTAAAATAATTATTCCTTTAATAGAAAAATGTACAATTAATGTTGTCCCGAACTTTGAATATACCATTAGTACTAAAAAATAAAAGAGTAATGTAAATCAAATGCAGTAGCCTCAGACTATAAATAAAACAAATTCAGATACCACGAATGAAAAATGTTGTCAAACAGAAGATGTATTTATTATTAGAGCTTTTTATCGCATGCATGTAGTTTAAAGATTTGGTTGACTTGCTTGCTTTGTTAGTTTTAATGTTTGCTCAATCACTGTAATTTGATAGACAACTGCAATCAATAGATAGGCGGGGCTTCAGCTTGTATAATATTATTGGATGCTTGAGCAAACATTTATACAAAAAAAGAAGGCAAGCCAACCAATCCTTTAAACTACATGCATTAGGACAATAGCTCTAACATCGAAACACTTGTTGACATGGAACAAAAGTTCTTGTTGGATATCAAAGACTTTTCCATTTGGTAATCGATATCTCTATGAACATAACCAGCTCGCCGCGTGGACGCTACTTTTCAGATTTCTTGCCAATAAACTTCTCCCTTTTAACGACATATCGTACCAGTTATTTATGATGTTGTCACCTGGTTCACTACTGAAAATACATGTGCAACGCGATACAATGAAGTAGTTAGACGGTTTGGAGGACTGAAAAGCATTTATTTACGTGAAAAACAATTATTTTGCCAATAAACTTCTTCCTTTTACCAACATATTGTATCAATTATTGCTTGTTGTTGTCACCTGGTTCACTACTAAAAATGCATGTGCAATGCGAAACAATGAAATAGTCAGACGGTTTTGAAGGACTGGAAAGCAATTATTTAAGGGAAAATTTTTAAGATTCATAGATATAAGATGATGTGGTATGAGTGTCAATGAAACTGTCCATCGAAGTAACAATTTGTTAAAAGTAAACCATAATAGGTCAATGTTAGACTTTGTTGAAGGCCGTACGGTGAACTATAGTTGTTAAGTTCTGTGTCATTTGGTCTCTTGTGGAGAGTTGTCTCATTGGCAATCATACCACATCTTCTTTTTTATATTTAACACAGAGCCTTGACTAACAGCGAACATCGAACAGCAATTCAAGCTATATAGTGCAAAACAGTACTAGTGTAAAACCATTCAAACAGGAAAACCAACGGTCTAACCTTTATAAAAAAAAAGAGATTGAAAAATACAGGTCGAATCAAATTGATCGAGGACAGTATGATACTTTTTTGGCTTAATTTAATTTCAATTTTCCCAATAAAGAAAGTCTTCCATGCGAGTAGGGAGTATATGAGATATGTATTGTTTCGATGAGTTCATAAATAAATTTAAAAGATTTAACATATATATGTGAACAATAATTTTGATACCTGGCTATTTAATTATGATGATGTTTATAAAATCTTTTTTAATTGATTTTGCTTCAAAAACCAATAAGAAAGTTGGGAAATTGCTACCAAAACATTTTGACGTTTATCAGTGACATTAAAACTACTTATTGGCATACAATGTTACTAAAGTGACATTAAGATAACCTGCTATCATATTTTAAAAGTATTGCATTCATAATAGAATTTATAGCATTTGTTTATTTATGTACATAAGAAAAACACAACACTTCAAATTTTACAGGGACATAAACTTTTGCTTTTAACTAACAATTGAATATATAGTTAGACTTAATTGTTGTTTGTATCTGTTTTATATGTTTTAAAGTTGGTATTTTCTGAATTTTTCATTGCCGAAAACAACCTTTTCGCATGGAATGTCTGCATATTTTCAATTTCATATTAGACGATACCGCTTTTTCATATCAGAAACGTTTTTATCGATTTGCTTCTTCCATAGACTGATACACGCAATACTAGTATATAAACTTGATAAACTGACCAATGACATACACGTCATTAAAATATACTGACCAAGTAATGTCTTCCTTGGATATACTGACCATATCATATGCTGACCACTAACATACACTCCATACAAACACTGACCAATAACATACACTACATACATACACTGACCATTAACACATACTCTATACAAGTACTGATCAATAACATACACTCCATACAAACACTGACCAATAACATACACTCCATACAAACACTGACCAATTATATAAACTTCATTATTTGACCAATGGTATATTATCTGGACATTCGCTGAACAATTTCAAACAATACATACACATATTCATTAAATAAAAGCACTACATGCATGTACTGACCAGTAAAATACACTTCATGCATACATTGACCAATAACATCATGTACAAGTCAATAAGATAACGACTAATTATATACTCTCTATATGTATTATACCCTCCATTTTAATATTGACCTATTATTTACTTATTTACTTTCGACAAAAAACATGCATACTATTCAATAATGCACTCGAAACATGCTAAACAATTGCATACACTTTAAAAATATACTGACCAACTACGAACACTTCACACAAAAAATTATCACAATAACATATACTCCATACACATATAAATCAATTATATACAATCCATAAAATACTGACTAACTGTAATGTACCAGTCCGGAGCATTACGTAAACAAAATGGAGTTTTGCCCCTTAAAACTTATATATATCTAAATATTCTATATCAACAGTTGTCATCGCAACTGCTCTGAAACCTCGCATCAGAATTTCATGCAACTTTGTAGATAATTTGGACAAAGTGTTCAGATGTTCATATTCACAAACTACCTTGTATCAGTTGATTTGTTTAGGAGTTATGAGTTATTGAATCTGTAGGGCCTTTGTTTTCCCAGTGACAACGTGAGCGCTCTCATACATTCTAATACTGGTTCTTAAATTAAGAATAGTATTGCATTAAAGGAACACTAAGATTGTGCACACGTTGAAATCATATCCATAAAATTAATAATATTATCTACACAGGTCCTTTTATATCTGATACAATTCTTCCATTCTGATTAATATTCCCTATTTGTAAAATCAAACGTTAATAAATTGGTAAATTTATTTGTGATGCTTTTAATTGGAGATGTTCATCAAAAAGATTTACAATTTTCGCGGACAATGATTTACGGGCAATATCAAGTGGTGTCTGGCTTTTTTTTATCACACAATTTAACATCTGCATTCCATGCAAGTAATAGTTTTGCAGTTTCTAAGTAACATGTATATCTCTCTTCGAATCTATATGCATCAGATGTTAAAGGTATTGATTTTCACATGTTAAATGAATCAAGATCACAAGCAACATTTAAAAGTGACTTTCCATCTTGTTGTTCACATTGAGCGACATCAGCATTGTTCTGAAGTAACAGTTCTACTGTATTATTATGTCCTCCTTCACAGGCCAAACACAATGGAGACTTTCAATCTCCATTAGACAGAGGGACATCAGCCTTGTTCTGAAGAAACAGTTACACTGTAGCTGTATGTCCTCCAGCACAGACTACATGCAATGGAGAAGTTTCAAATTATTACACTGAGAGACATCAGCTTTGACCTGCAGTAACAGTTTTACTGTATATTTATGTCCTCCTTTACAGGTTATCCACAATGGAGACAGTCCATCATTATCACACTGATGGACATCAGCATTGTTCTGAAGTAAAAGTTCTACCGTATCTTTATGTCCTCCTGCACAGGCCACATACAATGGAGACTTTCCATCTCCGTGACACTGAGAGACATCAGCATTATTCTGTAATAACATGTCTACTGTATCTTTATGTCCTCCTTTGCAGGCCGCATACAAAGGAGACTGTCCATCAGCATCACACTTCGAAACATCAGCGTTGTACTGCAGTAACAGTTCTACTGTATCTTCGTGTCCGTTTGCACAGGCCACAAACAATGGGGAACATCCATAGAGATCACACAGAGAGACATCAGCATTGTTCTGAAGTAAAAGTTCTACTGTATCTGTATGACCTCCTTTACTGGCCACATACAATGGTGACTCACCATTAATGGCACACTGCGAGACATCAGCATTGTTCTGTAGTAACAGTTCTACTGTATCTTCGTGTCCGTTTGCACAGGTCACAAACAATGGATACTCTGCTCTTCTGTTACACTTAGAGACATCAGCATTGTTCTGAAGTAACAGTTCTACCGTATCTTTGTGTCCTCCTTCACAGGCCACATACAATGGGGAACATCCATATAGATCACACAGAGAGACATCAGTATTATTCTGTAGTAATAGTTTTACTGTATCTTCGTGTCCGTCTGCACAGGCCACAAACAATGGAGACCTTCCATTCACATCACACTGATTAACATCTGCCTTGTTCTGCAGTAGCAGTTCTACTGTTTCTTTATGTCCTCCTTCACAGGCCACATACAACTGAGACTTACTATCCACATCACACTGAGAGACATCAGCATTGTTCTGCAGTAACAGTTCTACTGTATCTTTATGTCCTCCTTCACAGGCCACATACAACGGAGACTTACCATCCATATCACACTGAGAGACATCAGCATTGTTCTGCAGTAACAGTTTTACTGTATCTTTATGTCCTTCTGCGCAGGCCACATACAATGGAGACTTGTCAAATTGGTTACACTGAGAGACATCAGCATTGTTCTGAAGTAATATTTCTACTGTATCTGTATGTCCTCCTTCACAGGCCACATACAATGGAGACTTACCATCCACATCACACTGAGAGACATCAGCATTGGTCTGCAGTAACAGTTCTACTGTATCTTTATGTCCGCTTTCACTAGCCAAATACAATGGAGAGTAACAATTATTATCACACTGATTGACATCAGCATTGTTATGAAGTAACAGTTCTACTGTATATTTATGTCCTCCTTTACAGGCTACATGTAATGGAAATAGTCTATTCTCACCACACTGATTGACATCAGCATTATTCTGCAGTAACAGTTCTACTATATCTTTATGTCCTCCAAAACAGGCCACATACAATGGAGACACTCCAATCGCATTACACTGAGAGACATCAGCATTGTTCTTCAGTAACAGTTCTACTGTATCTTTATGTCCTCTTCTACAGGCCACATACAATGGTGACATTTCATAATTGTTATATTGAGATACATCAGCATTGTTCTCTAATAACAGTTTAGCTACATCTGACTGTCCTTTTTCAGATGCCTTATATAAAGGGGAACTGCCTTTTTCGTCTGTGTTATTCACATTACATTTAACATTAACAATCAGAAAGTGAACAATATCAAAATAACCCCTAATAGCTGTTTCTATTAAAGGTGTTGTATGAAAGTGTTTCTTGATCAGGATAGGCCATAATGTTTGTTCATTATCATTGTCTATAATGCAACCTTGTGTATCAAGGTTCTTTAATATTGTTTTTGCATCATCACTCCTTTTTAAAAACTTTATTAACTTATCTCTAAATGTCTGATAAATTAACTGGTAGTTAAAGAATGTGCTTGTAATGACATGCTCTTTTATGTCACGTAACAGTCGTTCAAAGTAATCTTCTTCTTGGTCTTTCAATAATATAATTGAATCAACACTTTCATGGTCTTTCGTTAGAGATTCGAAGATGAAATTATCCTGAATAAATTCAGGGGGAGCATATTTTATAAAACTTTCAGTAAGGTGTTGTCCACAGATTACAGCTGCCATTTTATAGATTTTGTCATGAATCAATCTATACTCTGTGTCTCTCAATTTTAGATAGGTGCCATTTAATGTCGAAAAACCAGATTTTAAAGAATTTCTATGCCTCTCTTTGCTTAAATCTATGTCAAATTCTTTAACAATGTCCACAAGTTTGTCCTTCTTCCTTTCTGAAACTGATCCTAATTTCAGCCAATCTGTAATGAATCGACCTTTAAATAAGATACACAAAGTAAGAGCACAGAATTGATCTTTGTTTTCATTAATAATGTTGTTTATGTTCGTTTTAATACTAATTAAAGGAGCTGTGAACAGTTTCAGGACTTCCACAGATGTTTTGCCTTTTGACAATTTACAAAGCAAGGGAAAGTAATCAACATTCTCTGTGACTTGTTTTATATTGTCAATTAGGTCATCCGGAAGGTACTTGTGCAGCATATGCATTCTTTCAGCTTCCAGCAAACACAACTCGGGTGATAATAAATTGCATTCTTTTTTTGTGAACAATGTAATACGTTGAAACTGTGCTTCTTTATATATATGCAGTCTACAAGCCAGCAGTAATTTTGGACTTGATACCTTTGAAACCGTTTTATCATTTTTACTTGCAATATCTTTTTCTGCAACTTTAAATATTTTCTCCATTTGTTCTGAATAATCTCTCCACGTTTGTAATGTCTGCATGTTGATTGTTTCCTTTCCACAGATGTCATCAACAACAAACACTTGCATTTTGTTTTCATTATAATAATTCATAATGTCTGTTGGTCCTGTCAACACAGGTATTATCTCATATTCCAAACTGTCACGTAAGTGTAAGGCAGCATGGTGTATGTTTGAAGATTTACCACAACCTGAGCTTCCTGTCACAATAATACAGTTATGCAAGGGTAGAGATTCCAGTATGTGACGTGTTGCTCTGGTTTCCAAAAAGGTAGTTTTGTCTTGCTCCCATTCTCTTATTTCTTGTCCATAGTGAGCTGCAAAGAAAAAAAAATAATAAAAGCTGATGTCTGACTTTTCAATTTAATTTGACCATGAACTGAAGAAAAAAATTATTCAATCTCAAATGCATCGCTCTCTTAACTGATTAAAACTAAAAAACTTCATGGTCAAGATCAGTGCATGGGTAAAAATAACTTAATATTGTATGACCTGATCGATACAATGTTCTTTGATAACAAAATAAGTATATTTTGAAATAGAGTTAAAAGAAGATATTTCAGCACAGCTGATCTGTATTGTTTAATCAACCAATAGTATGTACATGTCAGTAAATGGAGCTTTGCCCAATTGTCTGCTTTCTCCTTGTGATTTGCATAAGTAATATAGTATATACAGTATATCCAAAGTCAAATCTAACTATGTCTGTTTAGAGTAAAATTATTAACAACTTTTTAACTTAAAGTTGATAAATGAACCACGAATTGTCAACCCCGTCATCATACAGACATGCTATCCAAACAATATTTTTATATCATCCTGTTTTGGGCAATATGTTTTTTTTTAAGTTTCTACAAGGCATGATCGATTATTCATTTACAAATCTCCATGCCCCTTCCCCCACCCAAATATTAAACCGACTAAGTAACAGATCATTATAATCTTATTTCAATCAACGATCAAATGAAACAAAGTCAAGCTCTCATGAAACCTGCTGAATACTCTAGGAGACTCTCCAGAGTGTCCTTTTGTTATTTGTGTTGATGGATTGCTGACCAATTAGTGTATAAACAACATTTTTTTGTTCCTACTTAAGGTGATTCAATAGAACTTTTTGCTTGATTGACTTTTGATAAACGCCACATCACCAAACGATGAAATATCCTTTCAAGCTATAGATCAATTCAATTACTTGTTATAATATAGAAACTGACCTTATCACATAAACATTGATAAAAGAACAATGATAAAAGAACAGAGTTCCAATGTCCCCCGCATTGCACATATGTTATCTATCCAAGGTACATGCACTGACAATAACGTAAAAAAGTTTGCTTTTTTTTTGTTCTTTAAAACTTTTAATTTATATCTTAAGATAATTGACAGCTTCAGAGAGATTGCAATGTGATTTCCATCATATCTTATGTTATTAAGAGGCATAACTCGTATCGAATAGAACACATGAGAGCGATAACATTGCAATTTTCAATATAATTAAAATTTTCAGACTGCATAACTATTCTATAAATAATTGATCAGCACTGATTTTTGAACCCTTTAAGTACACTGATGATCTAAATCTATAATGTAATTTGATAAAAATCTGGCAAGAATTGTACTCATTAGATTGCTCATCAGGCAATTTTCCATAAAGATAATATTTCCAATGCGCATAACTGTTTTTAAAATTATTGGTTGTCATGGTCGTCACTGATTTTCAAATTCGTCCAAGACGATAATATAAACCTATGATTTATGTTTCATAAAATTCTGTCAAGAATCGTACATGAGAGAGTGCTAACAATGCAATTCCCCATATAATTTTATTTCCAAGGGGCATAATTCTTAATTCATAATTCATAATTGATTGGCACTGATTTTCAAACTCATCCAAAATGTCCTGTACCAGGTCAGGAATATGGCAGTTATTATCTAAAAGTTCGTTTCCATGTATGTTGCATTGTCGTATGTTTTTTGTTGCACTTTAGTGTTCTGCTGTTTCGTTGTTTTCCTCTTATAGTTGATACGTTTCCCTCAGTTTCAGTTTGTAAACCAGATTTGTTTTCTCTCAATCGATTTATGACTTTTGAACAGTGGTATACTACTGTTGCCTTTATTTATTTAAACCTATGATATAAGTTTCAGAAAAATCTGCCTAAAATTGTACAAATGAGAGCGCTTAAGATGCAATTTTCAATATAAGTAATGTTTGCAAGGGGCATAACTATATCAAAAATAATTGATCGGCACTGACTTTCGAACTCGTCCAAGACACCTAAAAAATTTCCGGGTTTCTTTCGACATGAATTAATATAATTATCCAATTAAAAAGAACCATACAATGGGGTCAAGGTCAGATGACATTAGCTAGACAGACATGTAAACCTTACAATCATTCCATACACCAAATATAGTTGAACTACTGCTTACAGTACTTGAAAAACAGACCAAAACACCAAAAGTTAAAAATGACCAATGAACCATGAGAACGAGGTCAAGGTCAGATGAAACCTGCCAGTCTGATATGTACCCCTTACAATCATTCCTTACACCACAAATAGTTGACCTGCTGCTTGTAGTATCAGACAAACGGACCTAATCATATAACTTTAACCTTGATAGCTGATCCATGAATCAAGGTCAAGGTCAAGTTAACCCTGTCTGATGGATATGTAGACGGTTCAACCAACCCATATACCAAACATAGTTATCCTATTACTCATAATTAGTGAGAAATTAAAATGACAATTAAAATGTAATATGTTTTCAAGCAGTCACTGAACCAAGACAAGAGTGCACACGCTGAAATGTCTCGCCTTCTTTACTAATCATTTATATTATGTTGATAGTCCTAAATATAAAGCTTTATTACAACTGTCACATAAACTTAACATTAACCAAGTAAACTAAACATTGACCAATGAACCATGAAAATGAGGTCAAGGTCAGATGAACCATGCTAGGCAGGCATGTACAGCTAACAATTCTTCCATACAACAATTATAGTTGACCTATTGTTTATAGTTTAAGAAAAACAGACCAAAACACAAAAACTTAACACTGAGCAATGAACCTTGAAAATGAGGTCAAGGTCAAATAAAACCTGCCTGACTGACATATAGATCATAAAATATTTCCATACACCAAATATAGTTGAACTATTGCATATAGTATTAGAAAAAAAGACCAAAACTCAAAAACTTAACTTTGACCACTGATCCATGAAAATGAGGTCAAGGTCAGATGACACCTGCCAGCTAGACATGTACACCTTACAATCATTCCATACAACAAATATAGTTGACCTATTGTTTATAGTTTAAGAAAAACAGACCAAAACACAAAAACTTAACACTGAGCAATGAACCTTGAAAATGAGGTCAAGGTCAAATAAAACCTGCGTGACTGACATATAGATCATAAAATATTTCCATACACCAAATATAGTTGAACTATTACATATAGTATTAGAAAAAAAGACCAAAACTCAAAAACTTAACTTTGACCACTGAACCATGAAAATGAGGTCAAGGTCAGATGACACATGCCAGCTAGACATGTACACCTTACAATCATTCCATACACCATTTATAGTTGACCTATTGCATATAGTATTAGAAAAAAAGACTAAAACTCAAAAACTTAACTTTGACCACTGAACCATGAAAATGAGGTCAAGGTCACATGACACCTACCAGTTGGACATGTACACCTTACAATCATTCCATATACCAAATATAGTAGACCTACTGCTTATAGTATCTGATATATGGACTTGACCACGAAAACTTAACCTGGTTCACTGATCCATGAAATGAGGTCGAGGTCAAATGAAAATTGTCTGACGGGCATGAGGACCTTGCAAGGTACGCACATACTAAATATAGTTATCCTATTACTCATAATAAGAAAGAAATTAACATTACAAAAAATGTTGACTTTTTTTCAAGTAGTCACTGAACCATGAAAATGAGGTCAAGGACATTGGACATATGACAGACGGAAACTTCGTAACATAAGGCATCTATATACAAAGTATGAAGCATCCAGGTCTTCTAGCTTCTAAAATATAAAGCTTTTAAGACGTTAGCTAACGCCGCCGCCGCCAGATCACTATCCCTATGTCGAGCTTTCTGCGACAAAAGTCGCAGGCTCGACAAAAATGAGGTCAAGGACAATGGGCATATGACAGATGGAAACTTCTTAACATAAGGTATTTGCATACACAGTATGAAGCATCAAGGTCTTCTACCTTCTGAAATATAAAGCTTCATTCAAATACTTTACGCCGACGCTGCCACATAGTAATACCTATGTCTTGCATACTGCGACTTTCGTTTCAGGCGAGACAAAAATTTATTATAATCTGTTCTTTATTAAAAATATGATTATAATCTGAAAATTAGTGAAGAATGTCTCAATATTGGTTTACTGTCTGTAACTCTATTGAAAACAATCTTAAAATGTCCTTAAAAATTGTTAGGGTATTTGAAATAGGTGTAACAAAACATTATTTCCAAAGTGTTTGCTAATAAATGGTAATGTCGTATGAATGTTGAAAATCCCTTCTTTTAAACAGTATGTCAATGAAAAACAAGTTGTCTAAGGTATTATCTCCTCATGCATTTGATTCAATCAAGGAATTTGCAACAAAAGCCGAACATCTTAACCTGTATTTCTAAAGAAAAGAAGCTGGATTATGTATTTCTTTTTTTTTTTAGTTTCCTGAGCGCTGCAGTAGACTTCAAAACTTTAAATATCCTGTGATTCCTGTGGTGCAGTGGTAAGATGAACTAAATGACAACAAAAAAAGTGCTTGTTCAAACCTAGGAGGTTAGCAAAAATGAAATCCTATAATAACTTAAGTGTTCTCAAAATTCAATTTAAAAAAAAAACCAGCTAAATACACGCAAAAGTCAAGTTCAGGGGAGTTGATCTTTAATTATAAAATATATATCTCACACGTAAAGCTCTTATTCCATGTCCAGATTTGGCTAACTTAAGGTTCTGTTTCTGGTGTAGTAAAATTTGTATCTTAACTGTTGGGTTTTTTTTAATATGGAATTGTATATAATTGCATGTACCTGTAGGTTACTTCTGACAATTGAAACTGGATACAGCACAAAACCTTCATCAATAAATTACAAGTTACATGATTGATAAGGGCTATTGTTCTCTTCAACTGTTTTGGTACTTATACATCCCTGGCATTCAAATATTTGGCTTTGAGTGTTCCTGACGAAGGTAAATCCAGAAAGGCGCAACGGACGCATGAAGTTGTTAAGTGTGCTGTTTTCAATATTTTCTACCCCATCAATTTGTACCAGTTTATATAAATGTAGAGCACTGGTGCACTTGCATGATTATTGAGAATTATTAATGACCTATTTAACTTCAATTATGAATACCTCGAATATGTGGTGGAATATGATCTTCAACTTTCTTTTTTATTTCTTCTTTCAAGATATCTGAAAAATAATTCAGTTACTCAAGTTGCAATAGATCAAACATTTTTTTATGTTTATACTATCTTGTCTGTCTTTAGTCCTAATTAAGCACCAGTTTTAAAAAAGATTCTCGTTGTTGCATAGATAAGAAGTTCTTTTAATGTATTATATTGCTCTCCCTCTTTTACAGTGTTTTGTTATGTTTTTGTTTATTTGTTGTGTTTCATAACTAATGATATAGTTTTTTTATAAATTGTTTTGTCAAAGATGAGATCCTTAGTTTTTTCGTTTGAATTTCGTCATTGTTGAATGTCATACTAGCTATAGTTGTTTAAATTAGCATTAAAAAACAAAAAATCAAAATTCAAATGGTTTGCCGTTAACGAAAACTTGGCATCTCCTAACCTTATAAGCGAAGTATCCAAATAGCGTTTATCCTTCTACTATCCAAATTTCGATTGTTTTTTGAATTTTTTTTTTTAATTGTTAATACATTGATTTACACTTTGTATGCATTCTTTTAGACAATAGCATGAGTAGTGAATCACTATTTCTATTTCAGATATGTTTTAAAGTTTGTTGTATTACCCAAGTATCATTTCTACCACAAGCAATCCCTCTATAGAATTCGCAATCAGTGAATGTGATGTAAGAAATATCTTTAATATTCTGTGAAAATGTATAAATAAAGAACATCAATTGAAGCGCTATTCCTTTGCTTTTTGTGTGTTATTTGGCTGTGCATGTACTGATTATGTGTCATGGATGAATACTCCATACCCTTGTTGTTTCTATTACAGGTATATGACTGAAACAATTAACATACTCACTTAATGTTTCATCATGCTCCTTAGCTTTCTGAAAAACAATTTAATACCTTTAAGGACATTTTACTCAAAGCTATAACTCAAATGTAACTATAGTAAAGAAGTAATGAAGTCAATCAGTGGTGCTGTTTAGTTTAAGTTTAAATGTTTGTGAAAAAAAGCAAAGACAATCATATATCTTAGATGAAAAGACAATATCATGTCAAAATAAACAATATGTCTAGATACGATATGAAAGCCTTCGCATTTAGTACACAGCAATAAGAATCTGTGTGTTGAATTAAAAACATTGGTGCATTGATTTTTTTTACCTATCTCTAGCATCAAGAAAATTAGCAAACACACAAATGGGTCGAGTCATCATGATTGAGGGCCAACACCTATATAAAGATGATATCATTCATTTTGACTAATTGTGGATCTTATAATTACATTACAAGTATGTTTCATAAGAATCCGTAATTTTGACTGGATAATAATGCTTGTGCGTCATACTAAAATTAACCATCATATCCCAATGAAGTGTATCATTCATCATGACACGTGCCAGCCATCACAATAAAATGCACAGGTTATCAAAGAAGTAAATGATAGAAATCGATTTTAAAAGACATTAGCATACAAATGTAATTATAAGAAATTAATGTTTCTTTAAGTAATTTTATAGGGTTGATCGTGCACACTTTTCACACCTTTTCCGCGCATCATACAAAATGTGCTTCGATCAACACTTTTACACCCCAATAGCTTTTATCTATTTGTAACAGTGTTCAAAATATTAGGTAAAACACTAAAATATACCAAAATTGTCTTTAAACAATGTTAAAGAACAGTAGCCCAGTAGACTAATGATTTCAGTAATTATTCCAAATTGCTAGATACCATTTTCTGATTATTTTTGTTTTACAGTTTATTTCAATCTCCTACAATTCCACAAAAATGCAAACATGAGCTTAAATCCGTATTGAAGGAAAAGAAACTCATGTAAGGAATTGGTCGATGATTTTGCCATGTTTAATAAATAACTCTATCAAGCAGGGGTATAAAAACAATTGAAAAAGAAGGACAGAAGTAGCTACTGCCTGATAAATAAATTTTTGACAGATTATTGCACTTTTTCTATCATGTTTTGACCGACCATGACTATCTATTTGTCAGCCTATTTCTACAATTTCTACATGTATGTATGTTTATTTTATCATACATAAAACAAAATACTGCTGATGGAAAAAAAAATGATTTATCCTTTAATGGATTCCAGCAAATATCTTTGAGGCTTTCTAACGTGTAACTGAGGTACAATAGTTGCATATTTATTTGTTATTTTTACATACACTTTCTAAACTCTTTATTCTTTCCTCATGTTCCTGTAAATCGTTTTCTAAATTAGATAATTCTTTTTGCACACTGATAAACTGACTGTCTGCTTCCGAACACAAAGTCTGTGCATAACTACTAAGAATGTGTGTCTGCTGACGAATGTCCCCCACTATCTCTAAACCAAGTCTTGTTCCACTAAGGAAGTTGTGACCTGTAAAACAAGACCATTTATTTACATAATCATGTATGGATTGCTGATAAGTGTACCAGAAATGTATTTTCTGTGTTTCTTATAAGAGGAATATATTTTATGTTGTCCTCGATCTGGATCATGTTGTATAGTTTGTGTTTTCTGTGATATGTTCTAGTAATAAAGTTTTTGTTGTCTGTGATGGTGTGAGTGTGTCTGTTTTGAAGGTCATTGTAATACATTTTGCGCTTTAATGTGCCCGTTAAGCAATATACCTTATCAGGTTTAATCCAATATCTATGATGTGATTTTACCACAATCTTCTGTTTTGTGGGTTATAGAAGTTATTGTGCTCTGGAGATTTGTAAGTTGATTTTTAATAGAGTGCACAGCCCAAAATGTCTTGACTGCTTTACTGATTATGATTGCAGATCTAGACTATCATACAAACCAAACAATTTTTCTATAAACATGATAAACATGATAAACCAATTCAACAGTGTTAACATCCTTGATTTTTGTTCTTGGTACAGTGTAACCTGACACACTGGGGGACTAAAAAAATGTCTGATTAAGCAGGGTGTTGGAATACTTAGGTTTTTTCTGCAATGATAGGCATATTTTTGGACCAGAAAAATGTGTCGGTTAAAGCAGGTTGTTGGAATACTCAGGTGTCGGATTAGACAGGTTAACCTGTATACATAAATGAGACAGCAGCAAAGCAACTTATATTCTACAATACTTTTACCATTCATTGCCCATCTGTTTAGCTCTCCTAAGATTCTGTTTTCCTCTCTGTTACTCAGCCTGAGGTTGCTTATAAGTTGTCTCATCAACTGGAAGGAATCTGCATATTTTGTAGCAGTCCATTCTGTAAAGTCACAATGTGCCCAGGGATTACGTATGTCTGATCGTATCTAATAAAGAAATGTATATTACCTTTTATATCCATGTATAAATCACTAAGACAATTCCACAAACCATTCACAGGACATTAATATAGTGGTTAAGTATGCCTCTGGCCTTTGTTAGTCTTGTATTATTTTTAATTTAAGTTTCTTGTGTATAATTTGGAGTTTAGTATGACGTCCATATCACTAAACTAGTATACATATTTGTTTAGGGGCCAGCTGAAGGACACCTCCGGGTGCGGGAGTCTCTCGCTGCATTGAAGACCCATTGGTGGCCTTCGGCTGTTGTCTGCTCTATGGTCGGGTTATTGTCTTTTTGACACATTCCCCATTTCCATTCTCAATTTTATTGTTTGCAATATGAAAAATAAAACATAAACCTTTATACATTTTTTAGCTGTTTTGACAAATCCCAGATTCATATCACAGAACATTGTATTTTGTAGAGAATGTCAATTATGGTTAGAGGTGTAGAAATGTTATACACAGGTAAAATAGCTACGGACGTATTACGTCCGTAAAAAATCCGTAATACGTCCGTATTATACGGAAAACCTACGGACGAATAGTACCACGGACGTAAAACGTCCGTTGCTTCCCATCCATAATACGTCCGTATCAAACCGTAAAACATCCGTTAAACGTCCGTAATACGGATTTATAATGCTACGTCCGTAATACGGATGTTTAGTACCACGTCCGTAATACGGATTTTTTGTACCACGGACGTATAACGTCTATTAATATTATGCATATTATTATATAGAGATATTTTGAAAAAAAATACCTGTATGGTTTGATTTTTATGTAACAGTTATATTGCTGAAACTTTTGATGGACCTGTCAATGACAAAATGCTATACTTTATTTTAAGGTGATGATACTTTTTATCTGCATTCCCTTATATAGTCTCCTAGTGTTCTATCTAAAATTTGTTTCTGATGCAATACATACAAGGTTTTTGGCATAGAACTTTCTGTCATACAGTGACTTGTTGTTTAACAAGTTGAATATTGATGATAACTTTGATTTAAAATCTTTTTAAACATTCTACATGAATATTCAAGAGTAAATCAACATTAATCATAAGTATTTCAGTGCTTGTCTTTGGTTCATATTTTGCTTTCATATATTAACTTGTTAAAATAAGGCTCTTAGTTTTCTCTATTTGTCATATCCAAACCTTTTCATAGCACACTATATAGTTGGGTTTTTTTCATAGTTGGAGGACCTATAATTGCTCACTATCACATCATTTGAACTCTGGTGGATATTTTTCTCATTGGCAATTCAACCAAATTTCCTTACTTTTATATGATCTTTTAATTATATATCAAGAGTAATTGATCTCAAGAGTAATTGTGAAAATTGTATTGTTTCCTTTTTACAGTTTTGAATGTATCTGTTTTCTTAAAACTTTCTTAGAACAAACATAATCTTCAATCTCCTTCAAAGTTCAAAATTTTATTTCCAAGGATTTTTATTCACATTCTAATTTCTTTACTTTCAAAGTCCATGAATGTCAAAATAAATGTCTTCTTTGTAAATTTAAATGTTGTATTTTTTGTAAAATTCCCATATTTGTGAGGTAGTCTTCTATGTCTTGTATTCATGGTATTGGTTATTCTTCACCATGTTCACTGTGAATGGTAACTGAAATAAAATATTCATAAATAATATAAATTTAACTTCCATGAAGTAATGTTATAATAATTAATAGTCTAATACACTTAAGAGGTCCCAAACTGCCTACAAAGTATATGCCTATGACATATTGTGAGTTTTAGCATGTTAAATTAAATTGCTTTGCCGAGTGCAGCTGGATAGGACCGCAGAGGTCCAACCCTGAACAGTTGGGGCAAAAATGGACACAATATTCGCACTTGATACAGGTCTGAATTTGGATTGTTATTAAATATTTGACAAATAATAGGTTTCTGACACAGAATAAATGTAGTCAAAGAACTAGAATTGGTTATATGATTTGAATTTATATTCATTTTTTTGCTTTTGTGCAGTACACTATGCTGTTGCGAATTGACACCCCTCCCCCAAATAATATTTGAAGAAAATTTTTTTTTTTATTTCGGACGATGATGTGATTTTTGGCGGTTGTATAAAAACTGCTGTCATGTCCATGTTTATTGTACTTTTTGCTGTAAGGTTGCTGTCAAACTAATGTAAGCCTTTCCTTTTACTTTCCTTTTATGAAATCTTAAAACAAAGTTGTGTGTGTACTCATATATCAATGTGCAGAAACAGAATCAATAGATTAATCAAACAATGAAGGAATTTTGATCAAACTACCATAGCCGTAACTTGGAAGAGCCTCTATTAAATACAAACTGTAGGTTGAACCAGTATTTACAAAATTGTCAAAGCATGTTAAGCGTACAACTCATAGGTAACCAGTACCTCAACAAGACTTAGAGTGCACATGCTGACCATTTATTTTATGTTGAAATTCTTTAAGATAAAGGTAAAATTACTAAAAGTATCACAAAATCTTAACACTTTACAGATCTTTGACCATGAGGTGAAGGTCAGATAAATCCTATCAGACAGACATCTACACCAAACGATTTTTTTATACACCAAATATAGTTGACCTAATATTTAAGCTTGTAGTACTTGAAAATCAGCAAAAATACAAAAACTTAACATTGATAAATGAAATGAGGTCATACCCAAGATCAGATGAAACCTGCCAGACTGACTTGCCAGACTGATATACATGTACAGTTGACCTACTGCTTATAGGATTTGAGAAATGGACCTTGTCACTGATAAAAAAAGTGAAGAAGAAGTCAGGTGAACCCTTCTAACAGACATGTAGATGTTGCAAGGAACCCATATACCAAATATAGTTATAATATCCTATAACTCATACATGTCATAAGTGAGAAATTCACATGACAAAAGAACTATATATTTTTTTCAAGCAGTTATTGAACCATGAAAATGAGGTCGAGGACAATGGACATATGACAGACAGAATCTTTGTAACATAAGCCTCTGCAAACAAGATATGAAGTCCAGGGGTTGAAGTCATAAAACTTTGCTCAGTGCTCGGAGCACAAAAATTATGCTCGAAACATGAAATCAAACATTTTGATTGGTTGATTTTGGAGTATGAGTACAAAAATCTGACTCAAAAGTTTTATGACTTCAAGGCCAGGTCTTCTACCTTCTGAAATATAAAGCTTTATACAAATCGTTGACAATGCCGCCAAGAATAGAAATACTTATGGCTATGTTTTGACAAAAAAACATTCTGATCAAAAAACAAAATTGAAAGTGTGAAATAGCATTATATTATATAAATAACAATGTCCTTTGGTCTTTTAAATGACACATTGAGGATCATACCTCATCTTTTTATATTTATATGCTGGTTAAACCTGGTTCATTGAAAAAGCTCCAAGGTTTATCCATGTACATAATCTGATTGCTATATGTTTGCAAATTCATTCTGATAATGCAAAATCATTATTTGGTTGATTTTTTTTGCTTATTTTAATGTCCAGTGGCAAATATTTTATGTATTCTAAATGATAACAACTTATCAATACATAATATAGGCCAGTCTGACTAGGTACACAGCTACTTTAGTACAAGTAATCTTGATGTACAGTTCTCAAGATGCATATCGAATGTACATCTGTAAAGCTGTATATTAACTGTACAGCTATAAAGTTTCATTTAATTTGGACCATTTTTCGGTTTTTCACATTTTTGCCATTTCCATGGTAACGGCAGCCATCTTGAAAATTCCAAACCCAAAGTGCACATCTGCACATGGGGATTGTCATTATGGAGCAGTTTTATCAATGTATGTCAAGTCATCTCCGAGAACTAAGCTGGACAAAAAGTGTGGAAGAATAATTCGTAGAATGACAATATGTCCCCCCTTTTATCAAAGGGGTGACATAATAATACGCAAAAGTCGATTGTTCAAAAGCAAATTAAAGGTATTTTCTTTCATAAATTGATCGGAAAAATTATGTGGATTGGTTGATTGATGGTTTGTGATCATGATTGATCAATCAATCGATTGATTGATCGATCGTTTGATTGATTGATTGATCGACTGATTGACAGTTTGTAAAAGGTGAGGGGACATTTTTTTTTCGAATTCTGCACTTGATTAATTACTTGTTTGATATCAAAACTTGATTGATTGATCTCTTATCATGATTTGATCACTTTAATCATGATTTGATTGATTGATCAATACTTTGTATAGCCTAAAATGACACATTTTGCATTGGTTTATTCCTTGTCTATACGTTTTGTGCTGTTCAGTGTCAAATATCTAACGCACAATTTTACACGTAAGATTGAGAAATATACTCTATTTCCTCTTCTTACATTAGAAAAAATGAATGGCGATTAAGGTTATTCTAACACTAGATTTGCTACTGCAAGCAATAGCGGAGGATGTCACCCCGTACTGGACATTGTCAAGGTAGTAGCAATCATTTTGAGTGTACCAAAGTCAAATGGCACATCTGTTATACATGCCTTTGATTCTGATTCCCCCCGCCCCCCCCCCCCCCCCCTTTTTCTCTTCTCGTAGAATAAGATTGATGTCTATATCACAGCTACTTTAGTACAAGTAATCTTGATGTACAGTTCTCAGATGCATATCGAATGTACATCTGTAAAGCTGTATATTAACTGTACAGCTATAAAGCTGTATATAAACTGTACATCTGTAAAGCTGTATATCAACTGTACAGCTGTAAAGCTGTATATAAACTGTACATCTGTAAAGCTGTATATCAACTGTACAGCTGTTAAGCTGTATATAAACTGTACATCTGTAAAACTGTTTGTAAACTGTAGAGTTGATATACAGCTTTACAGCTGTACAGTTTGTATACAGCTTTACAGATGTACATTCGATATGCATCTTTAGAACTGTACATCAAGATTACTTGTACTATTGTAGCTGTGTAAGTTTGAAATGTAAATGCTATGATAGTTTGAACTTCTGACATCTCAAGTGTGTGTGTATGGAGCAGTAGAAGGGGCAAAGTAAGGATGCCTTGATGCATACATTACATGGGAAAGTGAGAAAAATAAGCAACAGTGTACATGTACAGTTATACTTGAAACAGTTTTAGGTAGATAACATCAAATTATTTAAATTAACTGCAATTCTACAGATGAACTTACTTTGATATCAGTTCTTTTTTGCAGGACATTCACACCTACATGACATACATGTTCACCAGTGATATCAATCATTGTCAATACTGTACTTTCCTTTCATTTGGTTACAAGCTAAAATTGTATATATAAATAATTTAATCAAGAAGTCCAGACAAAAACTACATGTAGTATGAATTGATGCTCACTAATTTATACCTTTACTATATACTTTTACTTTTGAGTGAATTGAAACAAAATGTATGCAAACAACAGAAAGAAGATCAACAGTTAAGCTTATAAAAAATTAATATAAATATATGTGCATATTTTAATAAAAGAAAAACCTTTCAATGTACCTTGGCAATGGATAAATTTTCTGTCAAAAAGCAAAATAAACTTCAATAAACGGTTTCCCAAGCAAAGCTGGAAACAAACCCTGAACAGTTGGGGTAAAAATGAACACAATATTCAAGTTTGATATAAGTCTGAATTTGGATTGTAATCAAATATTTGACACATCATAGGGGGGAAATTTCTGGATCCGCCACTGGGTATTGAACCTTTAGATTAAAGAGTACCATACACTTAAACTAAAGTTTTTTGTCCAGAAACCAAATGTCTTTAAAGGACAACAATGTGATAGCAGTATACTGTGTAGCAGTATATGACCCCATATTGTGGTTGTATAAAAAAATTGTTTGTTCTTTTAAACTTTTTCATATATAATTCATCTACAAGAAATGTAGGCCTGTTTGGGATTGCTTGCAATGCAATTTTCCTTATAAATTCAACCTTATATAGTAATGCCGGATTTTGATTGGTTGGTAACCAGAGCATTTTTCGTACATTCTTATCCTTTTTACTCTATTTCTATACTAAAAATCTTTAGTACCGGACATTTACTTTTAATATTTAGTACTACTTCTTTACTCAAAAATTATTGTAATATTTAGGTAAGGTACCAGTATTTTACAGTACTTGTTTTGTACTAAAAATTTTGGTACAGAAATAATACCCACAGTGATCATAATATTCCATGTTTGAAAATCATAACTTTAAGAGATGTGAAATAGACAAACTATCAAAATGCTGAAAATGTAACGGTGTAATAACATGAATAAAAAACTGTAGTACTTAAATTTCAAGTACAAATCAAGTACTGTAAAATACAGGAACTTAATATCATGATAATTTTAAAGTAACAAAATGGTACTAAATATTAAAAGTAGATTTCCAGTACTACATAATTTTGGTACAGAAATAGTAGCTATGCAAAAGTAGCTGTGTAACCAATGTCAAGTTCTTTGACTACATTTATTCAGAAAACTATAATGTGTCAAATATTTATTTACAATCCAAATTCAGACCTGTATCAAGGAATCAGAAACTTGTCAACATTTAAGTTAAGTACTAAGGAGTATTATTACTACAACTGCACAATATTAATGACTTTACCATAAGTTATTTCTTGGTTTCCTTAAACTGACCTCATCACGAATATCAACAAATTGTTTACGGTTTTGTAAAAAAAATAATTTGTCACTTCTAACATGGATAATTTTCGACTTGCCCACAACAAGAATCAAAACTTTGAACTCTATGACCTCAAACTTTAAAATAATCTTGGAAACTACATGTACAATAACATGATGTACCGAGTCTGACAAGAAAAAAATATTCAAATAAAGTCATCATTTTAATAACATACCTCTCATCACAAAATTATTCATTGACTACTGCTCCTCTGTGCTCATATGCACATAAATCAATATGACAATCTATGAATCCACTATATAATCTAGACATCAATGACCCAAATGAATTCTGTTCTGTTGCTTAGCTTCTCCTACTTCTCAAAGTACTTGTACTTTCATTGAAAATGCTAAAAGAAATAATGGTTAATGAAATGAAGTTATAATATCTGCCAAAATTGCTTTTAATATTTGATCCGGCAAAATTGGCTTAGTTTGATCTTTTAAAACTAGACCAACAAACTTTCCCTGAAAAAATAGAGGCTTCCAAGAGCCTCAGTCACTCACCAGTATCCACTGTGGTTTTGGAAATCATGTAAAATAACGTTTAAATCATAATAAATAGTATAAGATACCCCAATAATGATTGTGGCCAAGTTTTGTTAAATTTGGCCGAGCAGTTTTAGAGAAGATTTTAGTAAAAGATTACAAAAATTTACGAAAAATGGTTAATAAAATTGACTATAAAGGGCAATAACTCCTTAAAAGGTCAATTGACAATTTTGGTCCTGTCGACTTATTTGTAGATCTTACTTTGCTGAACATTATTTCTGTTTACAGTTTATGTCTATCTCTAATAATATTCAAGATAATTACCAAAAACTGCAAAATTTCCCTAAAATTACCAATTCAGGGGCAGCAACCCAACAACAGGTTGTCTGATTTGTCTAAAAATTTCATAGCAGATAGAACTTAACCTGGTGAACGTTTTAACCCCACGTCAGATTTGCTCTGAATGCTTTAGTCTCAGAGATACATGTGTAGGACTTGGAACTGTGATGGTACTCCGAACTGCGATGGTCACGCCGAAGTGCGATGGTCCATGCTGATGTGCGTTGGTTAACACGCTGAAGTGCAATGGTCCATTGTGACACTAACTTGTTGTTAGATATGCTGAAGTGCGTTTGGTGGGTACGCTGAAGTGCGATGGTCTAACTGTGACGTTGTGTATACTAGCTAAATGCAATGGTCTGAAGTTGAAATCCCATTTTTAAATGTGGCGGTGTAGTGGTTAATGTGCTAGCCTCGCATTTGGAAGACCAGGTTTTCTGGTCAGGTCAAAATAAAGACTTTAATTTTTAATTTGCTAATGTTTTGCTTAGTATACAACAGTATGAGGCAGAAAATAGACTGGATGGCTCAGATTAAGTATAATGGATTCGAGTTGGGGGACATTGTTTTTATAATGAGCATTCAAGTGCGATAAAAAATAAAACGGGTATAGCACAGCGCTCTTTGTAGTACTAACTAAGCAGGATACATTTAATTTTATCAAATATACTAGTAACTTGTTCTTGTCATGTCAGTAGCTACGAAATTTTCTCACAACACTCATGCATCTATTTATTTAATAAATCATAACAGTTTTTAAGAAATAAAAACTACCGATTACATTTATGCTTGACATATAGTGAGACATGACACTTGTTCTGTCATTAGCTTGAGAATTAGCTGATTTTTCGCTAAGCAGCAGAAACTGAGAATTACAACAAGTTGGCACCATTTGGGTTTCTTTTGGCCTAACCCATAGCAGAATATTAATACTTTAAACAAAATAAAATAACCAAGATTGCCCGTTTTCTTACAAAGCATGCGGATTCATTTCGAGAATAAAACAAAATTATCGCTACTTGATATAACGAAAACATTGGTAATAATTAATTTATTATTTTAAAAGTTGGCCACACAAAATCATGTGATGTTAACTTGAGGAGAAGTCAAATTTTATATAAGACCAAGACATGCTCAAAACTGTTTGGGACTTAAATCGTTCGTTTCATTCTGTTTCCTTTCCTTAGTACGTACGAAACCTTCATCTACAAATCTTATTCTCCTGCCTGTGAATCCATTTGTTTCATAACGTTGTATTTGAAAACGTCACATTATCAAACATCATGCAAAATCATCCCACTTTATCGAAAGGACCATCGCACTTCAGCGTGGACCATCGCACTTCAGCGTCCCCATCGCACCTCCGAGTCCTACACATGTATAAGCCAAAAACTGCATTTTACCCCTATGTTCTATTTTTAGCCATGTTGGCATGTTAGTTAGCAGGAGAGGTCATCTGACACATATTTCTAACTAAATATCCTAATGATGTTTGTGGCCAAGTTTGGTTCAATTTGACTCCCTAGTTTCAGAAGAGAAGATTTTTGTAAAAGTTAACAGCAACGGACAACGACGACAGACGCCTTGTGATGAGAAAAGCTAATAAACAGCAGTGCCACGAGCGCATGATACACCCGTCGTCTTGTGTGTGAAGTTTTATGCAATAATCATAAATAGTTTCTGAGATACGGCGCGACATGTTAAAACCCCCCTTTTTTACAAAAAACTCAATAACTCTAAAATAAAATTCTGAATCATCACCAAAAAGTAAACAGATCTTAAGATTAATATAAATAAGTAGTGTGTAAAGTTTTAAGCAACAATAATACATGTTTTTTGAGATACGGCGCGACATGTGAAAAAAACACACCCCTGTTTTAGCTATAAAGTCTTGTAACTACGAAAGTTTAAATCTTATTTTCACCAAAAAGTATGCAGATAGTTTGACCATCATAAGAAACGACTATGTTAAGTTTCATTAAATTTGGATAAGTAGTTCTCAAGTTTCAGTGCAACATGTGGACGCCAGAGAGACAGACAGACAGACAGACGGCCGGAAGCCGGACATTTGTATACTATAATATGTCCCGTAAAAATTTTGACAGGCGTATAAAAATGACTATAAAAAATCAAAGTATTTAATCATTTTAATGTTCTAATGATCTAATCCATCATATAAAATCCATATGACCCTTGAATGAAGGGATGAACAAAAGCGGTTATATACATGTATAATTGGATCTCTGAATCTGTCATGATTTATAATGCCAATCTTTGGGCATCAACTTACCATCAAGTTATTTTAATAATCATGATACTTTTTGAAATTTGAAGTCATTCAAAAATGTTTAAATTATACCAAAAGTTGAACTAGTATTTGATATTCATTGATATAAGGTAATATCTGAGAAATGGACTAAACGAGACAAGGTTTGGTGGTAAATACATGTTCATGTACCTTGAAAGTTGTTATTGGCTTTGAACTAGCTGTTAGCAATTGGGAGTACTCTCAGATCTATACTTAGTCTTTTTAGTTTTGGGGATGTATAAATCTGCTTTAAAAGCCCTTTTCACACCAATATCCCAGCTAAGGTGGTTGGTTTAGTACCACAAACTACTAGTCTAGCCCCACCACAACCTTTTGAATGCGTCTGTCTCATGTCAGAAGCCTGTTAGTGTTATTCAGTGGTTCAGTTTGTCGTTTGTTGCTGTTTATAATATTTTGTTTTTTTGGTTCTGTTTTTTATATATTACATTGTATAAATTAGTCTGTTAGTTTTCTGGTTTGAAATTTAATTGATTTACAAATTTGTGATTCTCATATAGGGTCTTTAAAACCTGACTATGCGGTATTGGCTTTGCTCATTGTTGAAGTATTGGCTTTGCTCATTGTTGAAGGATGTACAGTGACCTATTGTTGTTAACTTCAATGTCATTTGATTTCTGGTGGAGAGTTGTCTTTTCTCATTGGTGTAAACAATATTTTATTTTGAAAATAATTACGTAATTTAAACATTATTATCATTACAATATGACAGATTTATTAGGATTGAAAAACAAGTGAATTTACACTTTTAAAAATTCCTCTATTTTTTCTCATTGGCAATCACCACATTTTCTTATTTTTATATTTACATTACATACATGTAAAGCAGACCTTTCATCTTCTCGAGGAGTCCACTTCCTATGTACAACCAGGGGGCCCAAACAGCATCATCATGCATGATTTTGAGTCAGCTAAAAAAAGAATCAAATAGATTATGATACAATAAATAAATACATAAATTACATAATAATTTAATAATAAATAATGAATCTACAATCATATTTTAAGAAGTGAAACATCATTTTAAATCAATAAATATCATATATTAAATTTCGATTTCTTTGTATCAGTGTCTTCTAATTTCTGGGTAGATAAGTAAATACGGGCGAGTTGGCAGACCTTTATTTTTTTTATATTCTATATTCATTTGGATTTTACCCAAGTTAGGCGAGTTGCCATTGTTGACAGGAGTATATTTTACGGATTTAACCCTTTTCATAAGTGGGGCAATTTTTTTTAAAAGCGGGGCGAGTTGGTAAGGAAGCCACCACTTGATTTTTATGGGGTGGGGGCTAGGATAAGAATGTTATCCTGCATTTTTTTTTAATTGAAATCTCTGTCCTGCCAGTTAATTTTTCACTATATTTGTTCCTGGTAATTCTTTACATAAATCCTAGCTTTTTTTAACTTATAAGTTGACAGAACTCCAGTTCCGCATATTTTTCAAATAACACACCCCTACCAGTACCCCCCAATAAAACTCACATGGTAGCTCCCTTAACAAGAGTGGGATATTTTTAAAAAGGGAGGCGTGTTGTTAAAAAAGTAGGGCGTTTTGCCAGTGGGTCTAGTTGACTTGCGTCCGTTCTTGACAATCTTTGACTGATTTTCGGGTTTGCATGCGATGACATTTATAAAGTCAAATTTTTTTCGTGAAAAGTATAGCACTAGCATCTTCTTAAATATGTACATGATAATATTTACCTTTCGTTGCGCTTTCCAAGTACAAAATATTGGGTACGTAATCCGTTAAGAGAAACACAACTTTCTTTCGTTCCCCGGTTTCTTCCAGTTAATCGACAAGCAACCCATTTCAATTTATCTGTTCATACTAATAACTTTTTGACCCATCGGTTTTTGAAAAACCAGAGTTCTTTGTATTATCTATCTGACTATAATATATCTTTCCATTCTTTAAACTCAAGGATTTGTACAGTGACACTATACAAATCCTTGTTAAACTGTAAAACATGAATTCAGCAGCAGACGAGCGTCCATGGATTTTGCGTCAGAGTATAAAAAACAGCAACGGAGAAAATATTTCCGGGTTTTCGTATTCGACGTGTCAAGCTTTCGTACATTTACGATCATTTACGTATATGAGAGTTAGTCCGGAACCCGGTCTGGAATCAAGAATGGGGAATTAAGTAGAGATAATAATTACAAAAAAGTTCAGAAGTGGTACACTGAGTATTATATGCCTTTGTTATAATCAAGGATTTGTATACTCTACAAATCCTTAATATAAGACATGAAGAATCAGAGACATACATGTACATTCGTACATGTCTCTGGAAGAAGTGAGAATAAAGAAAAAACTAAATAAAGAATATTTAATTATTTATTTATTATTTAATCTATAACTTATTCACTTATTTTACATTTTGTTCTATTCAGAATTAAATACAAGACTGTTTGCTGAGGGGGTGGTGCCGCGGAATTATGGAAAATTGACAAACGAGGATTACTCTTATCAGAGACATATAATACCTCTATGTCTCTGCTCTTATCAAGGATTTGTATATTATTACTATACAAATCCTAGCTCTAATCAGAGAAGAACTAAAGGTTAAACAGTAACTCAATAATAAATAAAATATAAACATAGGAATGCTCTTGGTTACAGAATTGGCTTAAGGAGTCTATCAGTCTTGGCGGAGACTTAAGGGGGGGGGTCACTTATGTATTCATTTAAGTGCATTCGAAATTTTACTAATCGGACAGACCTTCAGTTAAGAATCCGTGTCAAGTTCTTTTGTAATCATGATTATTAGGAAACATCTTATAAGTTTTCCTACTGCCTCCTTGATTTACTCTATACAAGGTTCTACACAAGTATTATAATAGCCAGTGCTACATTATCACCCTGATCGATCCTTGAAATGGCTAAATTTTGAACTTGATCCATTGGTCCAAGGTTAAACAATATATTTTGTTTTATAATTCTCAACTTATGAACTTTGCTTGCAAATACTTTAATCACTATCTCCTATATTCAACGAAAAGCTCACCAGATCTTAGGGACGAGTCGACATCAAAAGTTCAATGTAGGATAATTCACTGACCCCCCCCTCCTTTTCACTTAATTTGGGAAAATTGATTTGATATATATGTAAAATTGATGTTGGATAAACAAAACTTGCAGCAATTTTTACCCACCCACCCCACCCCCAAACTATTTGATTTAAGTTTTTTTTTTATCCTACATCGATCTTATGATGTCGTCAGTCCCTTATGTTATCATGTTTGTCAAAATGTCGAATCAAATCAAAATTTTACTTACTAAATTTGCAATTATACTAAGACGTAGGTTGCCACATGTTGAGCAGCCCCGGGAAGTTCTGAACTGTTCACTACTATCACTACTTGAGTTCATTCATGTATTTTGGATGTTCATGTTGCACACAGAGGTGAATTTAGTGCACCCTGCCCCTCCCCTTTTTGTGGGAAAAATTTGATTGATTGTATAGGGATTATCACTTAAGCATGCAGAGGTGGATTTAGAGGGGCCAGGGGGGATTTGGTTGATTATATAGGAAATCACTGAAGCATGACCAGAGCGGGACCCTCACGGTTAGGCAGTCAGTGGGCCCCACTTATGAAAATATCTGGATCCGCCACTGGCATGACTAGTGAGGCCTGCTTTTTAACAGTCAGTGCCCCCACCCCCTTTATGAAAATTTCTGGATCAGTCAGTTTATGTGTAATGGTAAGTTATTGTTGTTTTATCTTTTATTCTCTGGCTTTTCTCGTTTAATTAGATTTTTGGTTATAAATTAATTTAATTGGTATCCTCTTTCAATTTCATCATTAACAATAGACCTACACCAAAAGGCCCTGTACTGTAATTTTCTATCTTGCCCAAAAATACTTTAAATAGTACTGTTTTCACAAATGCTTGCTTGAAACACAACTTTTAAAATAAAATAGAAGCACTGCAGGTAATTTGCTTTTATTCCACACCAAAGGAGAATAAATGTATGATAAAGTTATAATGTTACCGGCATTATTCTACATATATTCTGAGACTATTATAACACTATGTTATAGTCTGAGGTTATAGTAGTCTCAGATGCATTGTATAAGGGCTTTAATATAAGGGCGGGTATAAGGGACGAAGTAACACCATGTGACTATTGCATTGGTTGTCGTGATTTAAACACGATAAGAGTGTTTCCTTCCCCCTAAATCTCATGATCCTCATTCAGTCATTGAACAGGATAGAAACTACTTCAGACATCAAACAATCTGAAACTTTTCAAGTACTTTCTATATGCTCATGTGCAATTTCTTGTTAGCATAGTTTTGTACTTGGACAGATAATCAGAATGATCAACAATCAAGTATTGACAACAGTCAGATCTATTTCCATTGGTCTCATTTGAAGAAACCAGGTATGCGCCATAATGCGGTAATTTTAATTCAGCCATGTACAATATATATATACATCCAGTCATTTTTACTCAAGCGTTACAAATAAGGTTAAATGTTAGATTTTTATATTCTTTTAACTGCATTCATGGCAATTAATTAGCCATCCATCATTAGTTGTTTGTGGGAAAGACACCAAGCACTCTTTGTATAATTCAACTTAATATTGCGAGGACAAGCTTTTAAAAATAAAATCTTTTAAAAAATATAAAGATTTTTTTTCAATTACATTTATTTCTTAATTAGGCCAAATGAAATAATATGTGTGTTTCCTATTACATCTTTGAAAAAATAGGATAGGTAGGGGATTTTTCTTATTTTACAATTTTTTTTTACATTGAGTCTATGGGCTGATGGGAGAGAAATTCTGACTTTAACAGTGCTTATTGATAAATCAAAAAAACTTTAGGGTAGGCTATTTCTAAGCTTAAAATATAGGGTAGTAGCGGAAATAAGAAACACACATTTTTTTTTATTTGACCTTACATACAGGAAAAAGATATTTTTTTTAATTAACATTGTTTTAATTTTATATAATTTCACTCACAAGTTGACTCCTTTTCTAGATTTTTTTTGGAAGATATGTTTTAAAATGGTTGATGGAAAAGTACAACCATATCTTAAATTAAATAAATGGATGTTCATGATGAACATCAAGAAGCAATGAAAAAATTCAGTGTTTAGAAACTCACTATCTTTTTTATTATACATGTATGAAAGAATGAGAAAACTGTTGAATCATCGTGACTGTTGTTAAGAAGCTTTCCATTTAATTTTGTTAATTACTACCTGGGAACAGTCATGACAGTATATCAATATATATGTTCCTGTTACTATACACTTTTCATTAAATTTCTATAATTAACCCTTTCCTCTATAATGATGCCGCTGTGTTGTAGTGCATCAATTGAAACGTTTTCATGTACAGTTAACATTGCATTAAAGTACAAGTATTTTCTGCATTTCATTGAAAAATCCTATGCAAATGAAGTATATAAAAAAAAAATGCTCTGGAGAAAAGGATTATAAATCAGTCATTGACATTGTCAGTTAATTATTTTACTATTTCATACTTTTAATTAAATCATGTGGTCTTTTCGGAAAAAGATCACTTCATATGTACTCATATTATGCAAAAATTAAAAGTTATAGGCTTGAAGCAGAGATTCACTATACACATGTATGTCTGGCATGCAGAATGTTGAAAGCAAGTTAAGAATTTTACTTTATGCATGTATTAGCCGTTGTGCATATATCATGCATGGTACTTTTACATCTTTGAATAAGATATAGCCGTAATACGGATGTTGCAGAAACGTCTGTAATACGTATGTTTAAGAAACGTCCGTGAAACGGAAAATCCGTTTACATCAGTTTTTACACGTACGTTTTACGGATGTATTTTTACAGACGTTTTACGGACGTAACCGTATCATCCGTAATACATCCGTATTACGGACGTTTATTACCACATCCGTGAAACGTCCGTAGCTATTTTACCTGTGTAAGACTAGTCTGACTTGTATAATTATTCATCTGCACCAGTAAAGGAGTAAGTTCAGTAAGGGTCACACTTTCTGGTTGAATGCCAATTTTACAATGGACTAAGTAATCAATTATTCTCTGGACTTAGTGAAACCGTATTGAATTTGAATAACAGTGAAAAGTTAAATTTATTATTGTCTGAATATCCTCGAAAAACAGCTCGATACTTAGAACAGTCATTAACAAAACGCAGACAACACTTATATTTAAATAGTTAACATGTATATAAAATGTCTGATGTCAATCTGAATTAATACTATAGTATCTATTTAAAGTGACTTATAGGTCCATTGGGCCGGGTGTCATTTAATTGAAATATTTCAATATTGTACATATTTTGTTATACACAATGTCACTATAATAAACATATTTGTATTATATTGTATTGTAATTGACCCCACATATTAAGTCCATTGTTTCAAGTTAATGAAAGGCAAGTAAGAAATGGAAATAGAACTATTTGTGTACAGCTTTTCTTATAAAACGTTAAACTTTATCCAAATAGGCTGAAGAAGAGATTTTGGTAAAATTTGTCAAAAACGTCTTGATATCAACAATATTTATGCCTAGGAAACAAAGAGAGCAGCCTTCGATAAACTAAATATTCCAAATATATTTGTTAAATGTTATGACAAACATTATATTAAAAGGTTTTTTTGTCAATGTATGCATGAGCCCCATTGTTCGAGTCCAGAAAATCAATGGAGATTTACCTGTTTTCATTGAAATTTCGTGGAAAATAAAAATGTGTGCTATTTGTGACGTCATGAAAGGAAAGCTAATATGTAAATTTTAAACAAATAGACATATTTCCTATTAGTTAATAAATCCTTCATTGAAATTTTGTCTAAAAATAGGGGCAATGTTAAGGCCTTACCAACCTACTCCTTTCATTTTATTGGTTAACTGTGGACAAGTGGAATAAAGAGCTGCGCCATGAGCGCATAGTACACCAGTCGCCATTTTAGCATGTCATTATGCTTTAAATGAATAATAAAATAGAAAGATTTCGAAGATTTTCAACAAATAAATTTCTATAACTCCACATTGTCATATCAGAAATTTACCAACAAAAAAAAAGAAACTAGCGGCTCTAAAGACATGAAAGAGCTAGTGTCACTCACCTTGGTCTCTGTGGATATTCAACAAAGATCACTCTTCAACATTGTAGATGAATAGAATTCATGACAAAAATCTGTGTTTTTTACCTTAGATTGCTGATCATTTATTCTATTTAGTTTCTCTCTCTAACTTCTTTTAGTTTTTGCTCAAAACACAAAAGAGGGT